ATCCTCTCCTGCCCTACCCTGCCTCTTCTGCTTCTGGAAACAGTTCCCGTCCTGTCTCTCCTTTTCACTACTGAAATGGCTGTTGCTGGCTACATTCTGGCGTGAACTCTGGAAGAAATGTGCGTGCGGGGGGGCATGTAACTCTGCATGCCCCCCCCCTTATGGGTAGCCTCAGAAAGACATGGCACTATGTACCAGGAAAGGTGGATCCATGATGCAGGCCCAGCCACACACAGAGGGTAGGGAGGATCAATGATTCATCCCACCATACAGCAGAGGTGTACAGGAGTGTACACCTCTCCCCATGTAAACTCTAAAGCCTTAAAGAAAAATGTATGTAAAATCCAACTAGTGAACTTGATAATTTGAACATTTGTACTGTGTAGCTGATTGACATTGAACTTGTTTGAATACAACTGAGGAGATGGCAGAGGCTATGCTGCCTGATCTCCCCATTCTCTAGGGTATAGGTGGCAGGAACTGGGGCTGTGCTGCATGGCATCCCCTCTCTGGGGTTAGGAGGCCAGAGGCCATGCTCCCCAACTTCCCTATGCTCTGTGGGGGTGGAGGGGTGAGAAACAGGAGCCATAAGAGGGAGAGCTAGACTCTGGTGCTAACCTCCCCAAGCTAGTGGTTTATGCCCCAGCCCTGTCTAATACCTCACCACTCACAAGGGGAGTAAGGAAGAAAAACCATACTGCGAGTTCAAATGTAACCTGTAACTGGAAAGTTTGTAGTCCCCCTACCTATCAGGGAAACTGGGCAGCTAGCAACAGTGAGCCAGAAGCAGGAGGTAGAGTGGAAGTGGAGCAGGAACAGGATCATACCTGGCTGTTGGGGGGAGAGAAGAGAAGGTTGCCTCCTACTACGTATGAGTAATAGTAGCAGCCACTTCACTTGAAATAGCCCCTTGTAATAGGGTGTAAGCTGTGTTGTAGTAGCCTGATGGGGGCCAGGCCTTTGAGACAATGAAATACATATTAGTCACTTATGCCAAACACTCTGTTCTACCATCCATTTAGCTGTAACACTGAGCATGTTTCCCCAGCCCCAGATCAACTCTGGGGCTATGTCTACATGGCAAGGTTTGTGTGCACAAACCTGCAGAGCATCCATACCTCAAATGTCGAAGTAAAGCAACAGAACAAAGGGTATAGGTAAGCCTCCTTTTCCAACGTATAACTCCTTTGTGCTACAGCTGTTTCCCAAAAAGGCATGTGTGGATTCTCTCCAGGGGTTTCTTGTGCGAATGGAGCCTGTCCAAGAAAGCACAGGTGCATCCATGCAGTGTGGACACTTGTGTGCAGAAGCACATCTCACAAGCGATGCACTTTGAAGTGTAGACATGTTTTTGTGCAAAAGACTTGTGCAAAAACCTTGCAGTGTAGATGGACCTCCATGCCTAAAAGCTTGTCTTTCCTACCACCAGGAGCTGGTCCAATAGATGGTCACTTCATAGGTAGGGGATGTATTATCAGATGTTATTACTTCAGTTCTTTGATTAGGGAGAAAGCCACTTCAGCCTTTGGGTATAATAGGCAAGCTAATGCTACCCTATCTGTTTTCTCTCCCCCTCCTCCCAGGTCACTCAAACCATACCTGTCTTCCATGGGCTAATTTTGCTTCAAAAGGCTAATTCTGACCTACAGTCAAGAATTACACACAACACATAGGATGCCTGGGAAGAAACATTTAATGTAAAACATCAGCATCATGACAAGAATGCCCTCTGTACACTTTCCAGGGTGTTTAACAGTTAAAAACCAACAAAAATGCTATCTTTGTGTGCTATGTAACATTAACAGACTTAGGTAATTGCATCAGTGATTAGTGTTAATCAAAGGCTATGTCTACACTGGCAGCTTCTTGTGTGAGAAATAAGCAAATGAGGCTAAGCATGGAATATTGCCAAGCCTCATTTGCATACCTGATGAGCTGCCATTTTTTAACAGTCTCTTGCCCCTGAAGGAGCTGTCTGCACCACCCCTTCTTGCACAAGAAAAACCCTCTTGCACAATGCCACTATGCTGATTATTTTCAGGAACAGCATTGCGCAAGAGGGTTTCTTGTCCAAGGGGCAGTGCAGACAGCCCCTTTTGGCACAAGAGCCTCTTCAAAAATGGTGACTCAGGTATGCAAATGAGGCTTGGCAATATTCCATACTTGGCCTCATTTGCTTATTTCTCACACAAGAAGCTGAGAGTATAGACATAGCCAAAGTGTGTCAGTTTAGGAGATCTCAGTCTTTATGCAGCCAACACTAGAATGGATGGCTAAAACTTTATGAATATAAGCAACATTCACAACTGTTGACATAACTTGTCCTAGATTAGTTTAGGAGAAGGTTTCATGCAATACACATTGAATACAACTTGGGAAGGTCAGTGGGAGGAAAAAAATGCAGCATTAGCACTTTTCCCCCCACTTTTACTGTTCAGTGGGGACATAACAGAAGTGAAGGAAAGTAACAAGACTGCTTCCAGCGGTACTGGTTGAGAATGTACTGTTACAGGAACTGTTCAGAGAAGTAGGTTTAGAAGCTGATGGAACCCGCCAAATACAGTTATGCTGTATTGTGTCAAAGAGACCTGAATTCTGGCCTCAGTAACTTCTCTCAATTTCCTTTATAGGTATGGGAGGCTAGGTGTGCCATCTGTGCAGAGCTGAGCAAGTTGCTGATATTTTATGGGAGCCACACCCCTCATATCTGCAGTTGGTTAGTTTGCTTCTGCCCTTCAATTCAAAGTTTGGTACTAAATTGCAGTTCTGATACATTAAGTTCTTCAGTTATGAAGATCAGAGGCCAGCTGCTGTCAAGCCTTTACTATATACTCAGCTAGAAGCCTTGTTATATCACATTAACATAGCAAGGCTAATTAGGTACTAAATAACCTGAGCCCATCCCAGTGAAATTGAAAGTTGTCAGTATTACTCTCCTCTGCATATACACTTGGTCATTTTCTCTCTCCTTCCACTAATTCAGTCAGCCAGTGAGAATTCTCTACCACCCTTCATTTTTAGAGATGTGCTGTTAAAGCATGTAACTGTTGGTAGCAGCAAGTAATCTTGTCACTGGGGCTCAGTGCTAGCATCCATTTGTGACTGCAGCCAGATTAAGATAGTGGTGGTACAATAGAAGTTGACAGAACAGGTTGTGGCACCTGTGCCACAGCTTCCAATGCGGAACTTGAGTTGCTAATGAATGTGAACTATTCAGAGTTAAGAGGGTAATTTTTTGCTATCCGTACATGTGTAGCTTCACACCACAGTTGGACTTCAGCTGGATTCTTCTTTCCACCAAGGCTTATTGGTTCCCTACCTCAGAGTTACCCCGAGATCGTGGTGCACCCTGCTCTGTAGTCCGAGACTCATGTCTGGTCTCCGTGACTGCCTCTTCTGGTGCCCTGCTTGAAAAGAAAGATTAATCCATCAGAATTAAAAGCTTAGACAGTCACACTACTAATTTGGAAAAATTAAGTACCATTTAGCATCCAGCTTGGTAACAGCCATTTAGTTAAAAAAAAGCTATCCATCTTTTTTTAATGATGGTGTGAACTAAGCAATCTTCGTTATCTAGACCTTATCCATTTTCTTTTGCTCTTCAGTTAGTCTAATTCCCCAAACCTCATAAGAGCTTAGCTCCCCCTGCCCAAGAGTCAAGAGGCCATTCATGTATAGACTCATCTGATGTAAAATTAGTCTGACCAGTGTCTACTCAAATGGTTATTCATTCTGGTGACAGACTTTTCAGGATCCTGGGGAAGAATGGGTGTGGGGGGGAAGAGGAGAGGAGAGGAGACTTGGCTCCAGGCACCCAGAAAGGTTAGGGCCTCTGGCTAGAGTTGCCAGGTGTCCAATTTTGAACTGAGCAGTATAGTATTTGAGCTCTGTTTGGGAAACAAATTGACAAAATATAAATGTCCCATGTTTTCTAAATAAGATGCAATGTAGATTGCAATAAGTCACGTGTGTCCAGTATTTTTGTTGAAACCTTCTGGCAACTCTACCTCTAGCAGAAGGGTTGGGGCTAAGGGCAGTAAGCCACCAGCACCGCCTGGACCATGCCATGCCATTCCCTCCCAGGCCTTAGTGTTTCCCCAGAGTGTGGGGACTTCAGCAGTGATTTAAAGAACAGACCCTTAAAAAAGGTCACCAGGCCTTAAGGCAGCTCCCCTCAAGCTTCTCCTCCCCTTTGGAGGAACTGTTCATTAGAGTGACAGTATCATTTAACATCTTTGGAGAGATGGTCCAGTGTCAAGCAACCATCCTTAGCAGAGGTGCAGCATTTGCTCTGTGTACCAGAGCAATAAGAACTTTATCCTCCCTTTAGAAACTTGTACCCAGTTCAAGAAACTAGACATTTGTATTGTCTAGTAGTGAAATTGTACATCCAGACTAATCAAGTGCAACTTCATGCTGCACCCACTTATTTTAACTAGAAAGTTGGTTGAGTGCTATCCTGACATAAGTCATTTACTGTGTAGGAGGGACAGGTCACCAGCTTTTGGGCTGTTGTCATGATTCTCCCTCAGAGATACTGATTTTTTAGGTGCAGACCAAAAGGTTGAAACACCTTGCTTGATGGTAGTCTGACAGTCAGTAATTGAGAAGCTAGAATTCCCAGCTAGAGACATTCATAATGAGGTTCATAGCAATCATTCAATTGCTCAGACCAGTGTTTCCTAATTTTATTTGGCCACAGAACCCTTTTGAACTTGAAAGGGTTTGCGGAACCCCTAGCTGTAGGCACAGTGCTGAGTAGTGACATTGTCTCCACTCTATGGCATTACATAGGGACACTTATGGCAAACAAATGAAAAATTGTTCAATAAAATTTGTAAGTAAATGAAAATTCCATTCCATTAAGAATTCTATTACAACATGAATTATTGTGTGGACCCTCTATTTTCATTTTGTGGAACCCTGGGGTTCTGCGGAACATTAGACTAGACAATTTGTGGTGGTTGGGTCTAACTCTTAGACTGCAATTTTGACATGTAACTGTAACTTACATGACAATGAAGTATAGGGAGGCAAGAAAGCCAGCAACTAGAATGAACATAAGAGTGCTTAAGATTGATGTGATGACAATCATTCCTCCACTCCTTCGCCCAGGCCAGGTATCAATTGTTGAGGACTGTTTTACTAGGAGAGGCAGCAGAAGGAAAAAAATAAGTATTTACATTACATATTTAGAGACCAAGAAGATTGGCTACAAATAGCATGAAGCAGGGAAGTTTGTCTAAGCCTTCCCCACCCCACCTCATGTACTCCTTTCCTTGGTATGACAAAATCCTTCATTTGAAATCTTGAAGTACTTTACAGCAAGGATGGGGAACTATTTTGGGGTTGGGGGCCATTGTCTCATGGGGGGAGGAGTCAGACAGGATGGGGAGGAGCCCTGAGCCCCAGGGGCCAGATACAGGCAAGCCAGGGGCCACATCTGGCTCCTGGGCCTAAGGTTCCTCATCTGTGCTTTGTAGGATTAGTTTAACTCTCAAAATACCCCCATAATAAAGGTAAGTAACCTCTGTATTTACCAGTGGGTGTAAGTGATTTATCTAGTGACTGCAGCAGAGGCAAAGTAGGATCCAGACCTAAGCTCATGCCATAACACAAAGCCTGTCATGTTTAAGCTTTGTCCGCAATTCATCTTTTCAGTCCAAAAGCTTTAAGCAGTTTCTTTAGCAAGGTGCTTCTTGGCAGGAAGTGACTGTCCTAAGCCCTGTTTTTTCCCCCCCAAGAGAAAGCAGTTGAACTTTGAAACACTTACCCCTTCTGGTTTTCATTGGGTCAGACCAGAGAGTTTGGTCTTTGACAACACCTGCATTCACATCTACTAAGAGGTATTTAAACCTAAAAATCAGAGACACAAAGTCAATCATGCATGCAAAAGCTTTGACAATCTGGCATCTAAACCAATCCAGTAGCTGCTAAAATGGAAGATTTGGTAACCTCTTCTGTTAGAGATGAAGATACTGGCAGTTAGAAGTGTCTGTTCCCCTCTAAAGCCCATGGAATGGCCAGAGGAGAGTTAGCACAAAATCCTCTCCCTTCCACCTTCTGTCATTTGCTTGTGAGTGTGCTAGTTAACTTTCTAACAGTAGTGTCTCCTAGTTATGCAATCAGACAAGGAAATTTGTGGGATGTTGTCCAAAGACTGAGTCCTGCAGGGCTTCCTTACTGCAGGAAAAAAGTGGAAGAGTGTCAAATTACCAGTTGGTGGATTCTACTCAGCAAGATCTTTTCAGGCAAACATTCAGTGGCTTCTACAAGAGCCAGTTAAGACAGTTTAAAGATCTCACAGTAACTTAAATTAGGTCTCTTGAGCTGAAGCTGTGTGGGTTGTGTGTATAAGTGGTGCAATGAAGGTTACCATTAAGGAGGACTGAATAGAGCCCAACACAATGGAGCAGTTGAAAGAAACAGTTTTACTATTTCAAGTAGTGCAGTTTGCAAGTTATACCAAGTTAACCTTGGTGCCAAGTGTAATGGCACCTCTAACCATAAAGGAGACTTGTGAACTATACCTGTATGTTGTGTCCTGAGCAAGGGGTGGGTTACAGGCACCAGGAAAGTTTGGGTCATATAAACAAGTCACATCATCTCCCACTCTGAAGAGGTATTGTTTCAAGACATCTGAAACTTTTTTCACATTCACAACATCAGCTAGCATAGGGGGTGATGCACAGTTGGGCACATTAAACAATGCAGCCCTGTAAGGTCCAAGTTGTCCTCCATTGGTGTCTTGGAAGGTGGTATTGAGAGGTTTGCTGCTGTTGTCAGTCACAGCTGAGCTTACAGTACTTTCTGCAAGAGAAATTGGATACTTCAGTTTAATATGCATTAGAAGAACCCTTCCCATCCACCCACCAATATTACTGAACCCTGATCTGTGTCAAATGAAAGGACCCGAACAAGCCCACCATGTTAAAACTTTAAAATTGAAGGGCCCCCAACAGACTGTCCTTTCTTCCAGCCCCTATCTATCACTAGCCAAGAGCACCACTGATGGTGGGAGGGAAACACATTTCCTTCATTGTCTCTTAAAGACCTTGTTTGTCACAAGGGATAGAAGCAGCACCTGTGTTCCTGTAGCTGTGATAAGACCTCTGGGGGAAAGGAGGAGTGCCTCCTGGGTCTGCTCCCCTTCAGAGTGGAGCAAGTTGTAGGGGATGTATTTTCTCCCTCCCCAGCAGAACAGCCTCAAAAAAGGGACATCAGGGGAAACCGAGGGAGCTTGGAAGGTGGGTTAGTTAAGCCAGGTTTTCCCTCAAGTGAGAAACCAACAGTGGAGCCTGTAGGCTTCCTTCCCAGTGGATGTTTGGGTTTGCAGCTATCCCAGACTTCTGCTCCACTTCAAGGTGAATCCCTTGCTCCAAGATGGCTGTATGTATTCTCATTCATACACAAGGCAGGCTCCATATGTCCTTCCTAGCATTTAAATCAAGAAACTCAGGAGGTTCACAGAGGGACAGTGGTCAACATCACAGTTGCGGGAGAAAAGGGGAAGAGAGGACCAGGGAAACTCAGGTCAATGGCCAACCCAGCAAAAGCTCTACTGCCACACTTCTACCGCCACTCCATTGTATTTTGGCTCTCTGCCATTGTGATTGGCTAGAAATGCTCATTCCTGTCTGTCACCTTCTAAGAGCTGAGGAGCAGCCTCAGGCCCTTTTGACAGAATCCCTCTCCACCACAGGCCAAGCTTCTCCTTTCCAATAATCTTGGTAGTCATTTCTTTGAGACCCCTCCCCCTGCATGGTGCTGGGAGTTTGACACAGAGAGCAAAGGCTCCTCCTCTCACTTCATGCAGCTGCCCTTTGTAGCCCATGGATGGATGTACCCAGGGGCAGGACTTTTCACTGAAGAAAGGGGGTACAGCTGAACCAAGCTATTTGAAAAATTGTGTGGGGGGTGAAGAGGGTAAGGCAACAGTCTAACCCTTACTCATCCCAACCCTCTCCTGCCCATCAGGGAGAGTCAATAATGAGAATGCAGCTACACTAAAGGCCATGAAGTAATGCATTTTAATTCACTAGCCTGTTCCCTGAAACCCAATGCCCCAGAGGCATCATGGAATAATGCTTATAGTAGTTCATGGTCAAGTTTCATCTACCCTGTAATGTAATTCCAGAAAAGTGTGTCACATGTCAGACACTAGTAACAATATGGTACAGATTAAGTTAACTCAGATGAGGCTCTAGGCTACCTTCTCAAACCTTCTGCAGAGCATCTCTGCACACTAGAAAGGCATTGTGTGATCCTCTGATAATAGGGAATGAAGCAAGTACTCCCAGCCTCTAGAGGGCCATCCAGTGTACACAGCTTACTGAGAAAGTTACGCCCATGTCAGCAATGCCTCTCACCCCACTATGGGGCATCTTAGGATGATGAAACATGCTGCTTTCTAAGGCAGAGGCAAGCTTTAAAGAAGTTGTCCAAGTTCAACAAGTAGTCAGGGAATGTTTCCTCATTGAATGGCTGAATGCAACTCTTCATAAACAAAAGATGTACAGCTATAAAGGAGTGCATGCTATGGACTTTACTGTATGTAGAGGGGACAGAGGAGCATGAGGAGTTTCCACAGAGGCCTTTCTTGATGTCTGGTTTGTCTCAAGTATTCCACCTCAAAAGCTTTTATAAAAGCTTGTACAGGTGGTGCACTTCCTATCATTATGATGTAACAGTTGGGTTTTAAGATATCCCATTAACCAGCACATTCATGGCAACTCCTGCAAGAGATTCAACTATCCTGAGTAAGCACAAATTTGTCAGAGGCAAAGTTCTTTAGTCATAAGGAAACACCTCCACATCCATCTTCCCAGAAGTGCAGTAAGCCATGAGAACCAGCAATGTACTTGTCAGCTAATAGACTTTCCTGTGCTATCAGTTTGTTACTGTCAGACTTACTCCATGTCTCATTTTCCATCCCTGACTAGAGGAAAGATTTTTGTAGCTACTGCTGACACAGCTTCGGTTGCTAAGCTATTATGTAGCTTAGTTGAGCCTACTATTTGTAGTCATTGAACATTAGACTGTTCATCCTTATTTGCCTAAGCTCAAGCTTCCTGACATGAATTTGGCTCCACTTAACCCTGAAGTGCTGCCAGATTGTATCCTCTAAAAGCAGTTGCTGTCAAACAGTAAAGTGTCAGGGTATAGCTAGACTGGGGGTTTTCAGGATACTGGCAGCATCCTAAAAAACCTACGCTGCTCCAAGGAATGTGTTTGCTCTTCCACTTTTTTGCAGGAGAGCAGATGCATTTTCAGAAGCCCCTCTATTCCTTGTTCCACAAGAAAGAAGGGACTTTCAAAAGAGGGCTCCTCCCCCCCAAAAAATCTGCCCTAGTCTAGATGGGCCAAGTTTCAGAAAAGCCTCTTCTGACAAAAGTATCGGAAAGAGATACACAAAATGTGCTTTTTCCAATAGATCCTCTCAGTCTAGACGTACCCTCTGAGGATAGCTAGGTTTGTCTTTAAAGTTACAGATTGAGTAATAGCTTTCAAAAGCAAAGCTGCAACCAAGAGCAATCCAAGCTCCCTTTTTACTACCTTCCCCAGGAATAGGTTCTCATCTCTTTCTTCATTGGAAAGCATATTCATGAACAGTCCCACTGGCTTGATGCAGAGTCAGTCAGCATAGACAAGGACCAGCCATTAGCCACATTAGCACAATTAGGACTCCTTGATTAGCTGACAATGGTCAGCATATTAAGTTCTTGTATATGCTGAAGAATCAGCCCCAGTCAATATAACATCAGCCAAGTTGTTTGTCATGCAAGGTCTAAAGTCTAACAGAAAGAAAGAGGTAACAGACCCTCAACTAGTATAAGTCAGCAAGGCTCCATTAAAGCTAGTAGAGATACAGTGTACCACTTTACACCCTCTGAAGAGCTGGCTTTTGTTTAAGATGAATTTTAGCCTTATTCTCTCTGCCTCAGCTTCCAGGTACAAGTGGACACTTGTAATTCACACTGCTATCAAAAGCCAAGGCCATCAGGTTTTAAAGATTTACATTAAATAGCTTCAGAGAGCACAGTGGAGAAAGAGGAAAAGGGAAGGAAATAAAGCCAGATAACTTACCAGAGTCAGCCATTGCATACAAGTAGACCTCATAGGAGCTCCCTGGAGACAGTGAATCATCAAACATACAGAAAGGTTTCTCTAGTGCAATTGTGGTAAGGGTAGGATTGCTTGTAGCAAGTTTGGGATTTGCAATCTGAGGCCTCAAATTCAGAGCTAAAAGAGACAGTTGGGAAATAGCTATAAACAACAATCCCTGCAAAAAACTTTGTGCTCAAAGCAGACACCCTCTCAACAATCCTTGCAAAAAAATTGTGCTCAGAACTGACACCCTCTCCTGTTTCCCTACTATTAAGGCTGAACAAAGGCAAGGCTCAGTTTGTTTAGAGCTGCTTTATAACTTGAAGCAAAGCCTTTAAACACAGCTTTCCAAGCCCTGATCATCCTAGCTCCTCCACCCCCACCCTTCCAGGTGGAGTGGGTAGGAGAAAGTTAGAGAGAAATAATATAGACAGATTTTAAATTAAAGGGAAATAAAAACAGGCCATTGCTTGTGATCACAGACCAGAAAGTGAGGGGGATAGAATCTCAGTGAGAGAGATCACAGATAGATACCCACTTACCCACACACAGCTGTCCCAGCCAGCAAAGCGTTAACACAGCCCAGTGGCCTTGCATATTGAGATATTGTAGAGAATCCCACATAAACTATCCTAGGGTCACTCGGCCAGCTCCTGGCTTTATATCCTCTGTGCTTGGACTGCACACACCTGAATCTCCTCACTTTCCACTAAGTAACCTGCAGTGTTGTGCACTAACTACCTGCATGGCCTCTCCCTCCAGCCAATCAGCAGCTGCCTTTCCACTCCCTATTTCAGCCTATTTGCATGTCTTCTCCCCCCACCCCAACACACACAGGTGGATCCCAACTGCTGATGATGCAAGGGGTAGAGTCGCTGTCCCGGCCCAACACCATCTTACAAGTCTTGGAATCCATCTCCTACAGGTACAGCTGCCGTGTGTTTCCATCATCGCTTTAAATGGGTTGGTCATTTAACAGTTACAGGGATGAAGGAAGGGTGTTTTATATACATATATATATATATAGAGAGAGAGAGAGACACACACAGACACAGGCTGGCTGGCTGATTGATTGATTTTGAAATGGTCCTCTATGTGAGGCCAAATTTTGACTTTATATAGCCATGAATTTAGGGACCAAAATCTAGCTCTGAATTTTTCTTTCTGGGGTTATTGTGTGCAAGACCCACAGATGATCTGATTCCTGTTATACCAATGTGAATCCACTGAAGTCTGTGAATTTATACCAATGGTAAACCAGTGTGAGAGAATTGGATCTGTTTTATTGAATGACTGAACTGGGAAGGTCCTGTCCCTTCCTTATTATGTACCACTGTCATTGATGACATACAGGGTTCCATCTGTGATTATGGAGCAGATAATCCCATATTTGAAAATAAACACGACAAAATAACTATCCCACGTTTTTTAAAACATTTACACCATTAATGGGCCAAATTATTTTGGAAGCCATTGCTGTTACAACAGATTTATACCACATCATTATGATCCAGTTTACTCCCTACTTCTACTTTTTAGGATAAACTTACTGCCCCTGAAAACTGTGAGAAATTGTAATCAAACCTTTATAGCATAGCTTCCCCTTCTTGTGTGTCTCATTTTGTAGCACATTTTATACATCAGTTAAAATGTCTTGGATTTGAATTGCCTCTCACACCATTTGCACAAGAGTATAAAGCCACTGCCTACAGAGAATTATTCCTAATTTCCAATGCTGTCTGGGTGATCACACTCAGTCCCCATGTAATGTACTCTGGGCCAAAGTCTGTGCTGGAACAGCTCCCTTGAAGTTAGAGATAAATTAGAAGAGAATTCATCCCTCTGACTTTTATTTGCCATGAAGCTATTTGGTAACATTTCACAGGGAGGTTTGTTTGCACAACCTTTTTATTGATCTGCAAAAGAGCATTTTTGTCTGTTAAGGCATAACTTAAGACTATATAAGATGCATACAGAAGGAACACAAAAATGATAAATAATCTGAATATTCTGCAGAACCAGAGTTTATTAAAACCCAGTCTCCCTTCATCCTTTAGTCAAGCCAGTGCTTTCTCAAAACAACTAGCCCTGCTAATGCTGGTCTCAAATTCCTCACTCATGTAAAACATCCAGGCTGTGTCTACACTGGCAAGTTATTCCGGAAAATCAGCTGCTTTTCCGGAAAAACTTGCCAACTGTCTACACTGGCCACTTGAATTTCCGGAAAAGCACTGACGATCCAATGTAAAATCATCAGTGCTTTTCCGGAAAAACTATGCTGCTCCTGTTCGGGCAAAAGTCTTTTTCCGGAAAACTGTTCCGGAAAAGGGCCAGTATAGACAGCACAGTACTGTTTTCCGCAAAAAAGCCCTGATCGCGAAAATGACAATCGGGGCTTTTTTTGCAGAAAAGCGCGTCTAGATTGGCCACGGACGCTTTTCCGCAAAAAGTGCTTTTCCAGAAAAGCGTCCTGCCAATCTAGACGCGTTTTTCCGAAAATGCTTTTAACAGAAAAGTTTTCCGTTAAAAGCATTTCCGGAAAATCATGCCAATGTAGACGTAGCCCCAATGTGAGTTCTGATAGACTCAGGAAGATGGAGTCAGACACTTATCTGCAGAATTAAGTTAGGAAATGAAGGCAAATAGAGGTGAAAAGTCCTTTATTTCATCTCATGTTACCCATTATCATGGTATGATTATTCTCAACAGTACATTGTCCTGCATTTTAACAAAAATCAGATAAGAATAAAAGCAAAACATGAATCAACAAATTAAGGCCCAGAAAAAAGTTATCGTATTAATTTCAGTTTTAAACTAATAATTCTTTGCTTTGTCTTGTAATGATTAGATAAATCCTGCAGGCAAAACTCCCAGGCTATGTCTACACTTGAGGCTTCTTGTACAAGCATGGCTGTTATTACGCAAGAACCCGCAGAGCGTCCACACTGCCTGCCTGCTCTTGCGCAAAGAAATTTACAGAACCGTGTGGTAAGAGAGGGCATCTTGCTCAAGAGCTACGCTCTTTTCTAACAGATGTAAGCTCTCTTGCACTCAGCAGGGATTTCTTGCGCAAGAAAGCCCTATGGCTAAAATGGCCATCAGAGCTTTCTTGCGCAAGAGAGCATCCACACTGCCATGAGCACTCTTGCTCAAAAGCACAGCTCGCACATGGCAGTGTGGACGTTTTCTTGCGCAAGACTTCTTGCACAAGAACCCTTGCGCAAGATGTTCTTGTGCAAGAAGCCGCCAGTGTAGACATAGCCCCATTGACTGCAATGGGAGTTTTGCTAAGTGAGGATTATGATGTCTGTTCTCAGGCCCTGATCCTGCAAAGACATATACATAAGGACATATACAGGGAGATTTATTTATTCATATTTACTCCGTTTTAGTTTAGTATGAAGCCATTTTATCTTCCAGTGCTGCTGACCAGTCACTCATAATGAAAACGCTGTTGTGTATTTTGCATTATTTCAAAATTATTTCCTATTAAGGTTGCCAACATTCCTGTCTGGATGAATTGGACACTATTTGCAGCAATCTGGTCAGGATAGCCGGCAATCCTATTTCACATTTCAATGAGTCTGAAACAGAAATAGAAAAATAGTACAACAATGAACACTCTCATTATAATTTTGAAACTCATTATCTATCTGTGCCACTAGAGATGTTCTAAGTTAGGGCTAGATTTCATCTTCATTTACACTGACATAAGTCCATACAAATATCATTGAAGGCCGTGGAGTTAGTTTAGATTTATACAGATGGAACTGAGAATAAAATTTGATGCATATTTATTTTGTCTTGTGTGTTATCTTCCTGTGCCAAAGCGAGCACTGGGGAAGAAATCAATATAAATCTCCATGGAAATCCAGAATCCCCATTGGAGCAACAGGATCAAATTTCACTCCAAGTTATACTAGTGCAATTCCGGGACAACTCCATAGAAGCCAATGGAGTTATTTTGGATATATGCCTGTGTAATTGTGAGTGGAATTTTGCCTAAGCTCTGAGCATTTCCACTTGCTCAGTCACAGGTGCATATGAAGTAGACAGAAGGTAGAGCCCAAAATTGTTCTATGAGGATCTGGAGTCTAAACCTCAGAGAGTATGTCCAGCTGTATACTGGGGCTAACAGAATCACAATGTCTAATCTGGAGATAACTGTGAGGACTTCCTATCATCCAAGCAGTGTTGTAGCCATGTCAGTCCCAGGGTATTAGCAAGACAAGGTGGGTGAAGTAAAACCTTTTATAGGACCAACTTCTGTTGGTGAGAGATGGGCTTTCAAGCTAGCGCCTCCCTTCAAGACTGGGAAAGGTCCTTAAAATGACAGCAGAATATGAGATTGAACACATAGTTTAGTATAAGTAGCACATTATTCTAGGTGGCCCATGCAAGTCATAGGGGAAAAAGGAGGTTTAGTGGGTTATAGATTGCTGTTATAAGCCATAAATCCAATGTCTTTATTAAGACCATGATTTTTAGTGTCTAGCAAAGTTATGAATTTGAGCTCCCAAACTCATCTTTTGAAAGTGTTGTGCAGGTTTCCTTTGAGAATGACGGCTAGGTCAGATAGAGAGGGATCTCTTTGTGAAAAGTGCCCACCCAAAGCTGATAGGATGTTTTTGTCTTTTATCATTTCTGTTTAAATTCACTAGGGAATATAGTGATTGTCAGGTGTCACCCACATTGCTGTTATTGGGACAGTTAGTGCACTGCATGAGGTACACCACATGTTGTGACAGGCACGTGTAGGATCCAAGCCGGATGTGATTCCTTTTTGAGTTGGTGTGTAATAGGGAACTTGCTTCTGATGATGAGTTTAGAGATTACCTGAAGGCCAGAATTGGGAGTCCAGGAAAGATTTCTTTCAGGATTTGATCCCAATGGCGTATGAGTTGTAGATATTTGATGATATCACATACGGGTGATAGTGTGGGGTGGTAGGTATCAACTATGATTGTGCAATCAAAAGAGGGGCTTTGTTTCTGTGTTGAAGCAGGTTCTGTTGGGGTACTTGAGTGACCTGCTCCATGATGTAATGTACTTCTCTTGTGGACTGCCTTTGCTTGGTGAACAAGGGTTTTTTAAGGGTGTTAAGATGTATATCCCAGACTTTCTCCTCCAGCATGTTCTGTGGTACCAAGTGCCTGGCTACAGATAAGAGGTTTTTTAGTTATGTTTGGGATAGTTACTGGATATGTGAAGGTATGTGTAATCTCTGGATTTCTTTTATCTAGCCGACTTTACGGTTCGATTGTTGACACTGACCTAATATGGGAAATCCATGTTCAGATCTCTTCCTTACGTCAAGCAAAGGGGGAATTAAACCTGATTCTCGCAACCCAGACAAGTTCCCTAACCACCAAGCTAACGGTCACAACTGATGCTCTCTTGCTTCTCCTCCCCTGGGGTATGTCTCCTCCCCTGGGGTATGTCCCCTGGGCCCGCAGAGGCACCCCAGTCCTCCCCATTGGGGGCACGTACCCCATTCCTCCCTCACCTCCTTCTACTTGCCCCTCCCTAGCCCCCCTTCCTGATGTACAAAATAAAGGACACGTGTGTTCAAAAATAGAAACTCTCTTTATTGAACAAAACTGGGGGAGACTGGGAAAACGAGGTGGGAGACGGGAAGAGAGAGAGTGGGAGAGGGGAGGGCAACTAAAATGATCAGGGGTTTGGAACAGGTCCCATATAAAGAGAGGCTAAAGAGATTGGGA